GAAATTAATTGGCCAACTGATATATATATATATAAAATTAGCCGGGCATAGTGGCGCATGCCTGTAGTCCCAGCTACTCGGGAGGATGAGGCAGAAGGATCACTGGAGCCCAGGAGATTGAGGTTGCTGTGAGCTAGGCTGACGCCACGGCACTCACTCTAGCCTGGACAACAAAGCGAGACTCTGTCTCAAAAAAAATAAAAATAAAAATAAAAAAATAGCACCTGTCCCCCAGGAGTTATGGCCATAGTGGTCACCAGCAATGCCAGGCTACAGCAAGAAAGGAGTCTCTCTGCCCCTGCCAAGGGCTTCGGCAGTGGGGATCCCAGCTGCCAAGCGCCCAGGGCTAGGGCCATCCTGGGTCTCCCTCCCGGAGCGTGGAGTTGGGCCCTGAGCTGTTCAGAGGTGTTTGCTGGAATCGTAAAGTGAGGGAATCTCCAAGATGCAGGAGAGACCCCGGACCCCGGCAGGGGCAGGGACCGCCAGGCTGCTCCAGACACTGCTCTAGAGCAGTTCCCGCCAGCTGCACACCTGGGGCCCGGCTCTCTGCCCCATGGCCTGGGCGCTGCCCAGCCCGGACCGGCTTCCTCCTGAGGCCTGGCCGACGTTCCAGGAGAGTGAAGGGGCAGCTCAGGGGCTCTTGAGGGCTGGGTCTGGAACTCACATGGTGAATCTGCCACCATATCCCGTCGGCCAAATCAGACCGCAGGCCCACAGAATTGCAGGGAAGGGGCCATAAAATGCCGAGGCCATGTCAACCATGCCAGCTGCCAGCCCCTCCTGTGACGACCTGCTGCTGCATGTGGCCGGGGAGGCACCGCCCCTCTCTCTAGAACACACCTGAGTTACGTGCCAGGATGTCCCTGCGGCCGATGCTGCGGTGGCTGAGGCCACAGCTCTCTCCTCCATGCCACCAGCGCCCCTGCCCGCGGCACTCTGCCCGTCCCCGGTCTGTACTCGGAGCTGCTCTGGGTGTCTGTCCCTTCTCCACCCGCCTGAGGACCTCACATCCTCCTTTCCTGCTCCAGTTTCCTTTCGTGTGCGGCCCTGGCAGCACGTGCCTCCTGAGCCTGCTGACCTGACGTCTGTCCACGGCGGGAACGTGGTCCCGGAGCGTTGCCCGGTGCAGACTGCGCCTCCTGTAACGGCACGATGGCCCAGTGAGTGAACGGATGAGCCACAGAGACCACGTCCCCCACGGAAATCCGGATGGTGGCAGAAGCCCCTGCCACCGGGGCAGTGAGGCTGGACTCTCTAAGATCTGTGGTCAGACGTGGCTTTCGCCCAGAGCGAGGCCGTGTGCTGCCCACGGACAAGGACGGCAGCAGGTGTGGGAGCCCTGAGGACAAAGTCCGCAGGCACCGCGGGGTGGGGGTGCAGGCATGAGATGGAGTCAGGTACGAAACCCCAGGACACTGCTCGGTCGGAGCAGCGAGATTCGTGTCCCCAGGACAGAAA